CAAAACAAAACAAAACAAAACAAAAAAGACAAACAAATAAAAAAAAAGAGGGTGGGGGTGGGGGGACTGGGCGTCAAAAAATGTCCACAATGTTGCTTCACAGAAGCACCAACCGATGAAGCCTGATTAATGCAAATGAGTCGGCCTTGTAGAAAAGAAAAAAAAATCTTGATTGCCTCCTTTGTCTTTGTGCAGCAATGACTGTCAAGCCTTTGTCTGACCACTCCCATTGAATACTCGGACAGTTAAAACATATGTTATTTAAAGGAAAAGGCCGCCACTTTACAACGTCAGCGTGCTATTTGTTGCGAACCGAGGTTACCTGAGTTCATTTAAATAATCTCGTTATAAAGACTGATAATAACATTTAATATCTATAAAGTAGCATGAAAACACGAGGATAGAGAAAAATATTTATTATAATTCTTCTTATTATTCTATTTTTGATGAAAAATCAGTTCAGAGTGAAATGCCTTATTGAATTTATTTTAAAAATAAAAGCTTAAAAAAACACTGCGTTCGGTAATACTCACGCTTTATTCTGTCGCGTTTGAACAAAATCTCTTCGCCTATTTTATTTTATTTTATTTTGATTTTTAATTAAGAACCTACCGCAAACCAGTTGAGGATGTCGCGACTTCTTCACATCTCGTCAGTGATTTATAAATATTAAAAGAAWGCGTCTAAAATAAAAGCAGAGTCTTCATGCAGCGCACGTGTAATCATTGTTTGTCTTCCTCCTCCTCCTCCTCTTCCTCCACTGCTTTCCTTTTTCCTCTCTTCTTCGCCTCTCCATGTTCCTTCTCATGATTTTTTTGTTTGTTTTAAATCCCTAGATAATAATAATAAAAAAAAGACGAGAAGCTCGTAGAAATGTCGGAAGAAATATTGCAGAAGCTTCTTCGGGCACACCAAGTTGCCAACAACTCCGGAGCGTCGCCATTGGACGCGCGGACCCACGTGACCAYGGCACCCTGATGGTAAATATTACCCAAGTGTTCCACATGGTTTTTACTCCACATCCTCTGACCTGCCTACCTTTATTCATTCAGCTTAATTGTGATCGGATATTAGGCAAATCCTCGTTGTTTTTAGTGCTGCTCGGGGACTTTGTGTGTTTTTTTTTTTTTTGGTTTGTTTTTATTTGAGGCAGTTTGATGAGCTGGGTCCATGGACCCCCAACAGTGTGCTGCCCTCCCGCTGCAGCTGCGTGGCAACAGTTCTGCTATGAACTCTGGACAAGTGCCAAACCTGAGCGTGGGACGCCTTGAAAAAGGAGGACCAGGGGGAGGAGGAGGGGGCCCAGATGCTGAGCAGCAAAACATGACCTCTACTGTTCCTTTCAGCTCCAGGTTGGACCCACGGAACGTTTCTGAGTGCCCTCTGGGGCCCGTGGTTCAGTGCCAGGCCAAGGGCAAGCTGGACACCAAAAGCAGGGGCTGCAGTCTCATCTGTCACTCAGGCGTCACGTTTCCCTGGATGAAGTCACAGAAAACCAGCTCTGGACAATCTGGTAACTATTTTACTTTTATTCTTTCTTTTTTTCACTCTAAAATTGATCAAACTATTTGTAATACTTGTTTCATGCACTGAACTGTTTTGTGTTAACAGTCTGCAAAAGATTTGACATCTTCTCCCCTTTATTTTAAAATACGTCTGAGAGAAATTGTAGCCACGCGTCATGTATTGTTTTATGTCTCCTTTGTGCAAACAAAAGTTCAAATAAAAAAGCTTTCAAATAAAGGTCTGTTTTTTTAAATTACAGCTTAATTTATTAATTTTTAACAACAAAAAGTTTTGTCTCATTTTTAGAACACAAACTGCTCACTTTGCTAAAAGGGAAAAAGGCATCCACATAAGCAGATGAGGTAAAATACAAGTTCAAACATTTCCTTCTTGATTGGCTTCATTTAGATTTATGCTTAATAAAAGACAACCTGACTTTACACCAAGCACAAGTATAACATGAAGCAGTCTATTATGTGAGCATTCCTTTTAACGTAGCCACTATTAAACACCCATTAACCCCTCCTCATCATATTGGTATCAACAGGGCCTTGGTGATGCTCATATACATGTCAAACTGAATCCCTAATGGCGGTTATTTTCAGTGGCGCTCCCAAGGTACCTTTTAAGTGACTGAGATGGGGATTTGACAGGTCTGCTTCCGTGTGGAGCTCTGATTAATGTGGCCTGTCAGGCAGCCGCGGTGGCGTCAGATGTTTTCCCCAGACTGCTTCTTCGGCAGGGAACTTTCCCTGAACACATGACGCGCCAGACAGCCAGTCTTGTAAGGAGTCTGAAGCATGACTGAATAGGAACTTAGGGCTCCAGCAGGTCTCAGGTTGATTAGCTGAGGATTAACGTGGGCCTCGCTGGCACCTGAAGGCTTCCTGAAGGCCGTCCATTTCCAGATTGAGATGTCAGACATGTCGCGTGTCCCTTTTTAACTCTTTTCTTCTTCTTCTGTATATCTACATCTTCAGCGAGCAGTCGTGTGGCAGGCAGAGCAACGAGGAGGGAGAGAACCGCTTTCACCAACAACCAGCTGCTGGAGCTGGAGAAGGAGTTCCACTTCAGTCCTTACCTGCRGCGCCACCGGAGGCTGGAGATGGCAGCCGGGCTGCACCTCACCGACCGCCAGGTCAAGATCTGGTTCCAGAACCGCAGAATGAGGCACAAGAAAGAGCAGAAGTATGGCAAAAAGGAGGCAAGCTTGTTCTTGGGGTCTCCATCCAATTTCAGTTCTTACCCAGACCACCTCCCAGCAGCATGTGCTGCCAGAACATCTTCTCCCTCGGAGCTTCTCTCCATGGACTGCTCCTTGTCCTCCCTGTTTGGGTCGTTTAGTGACAGCAGCAGCGCTCCGAGTCTTTACCCCGCAGACCTCTCCCATTTAAACTGCTTGCTTCCATCTGCTGCAAACGGTCCGCCGCCCTCCTGCGCAGACATCGATGGCCATCAGCAGGCCGGCTTCTCAAACTGGCCCTGAGGCGCCATAAAGGCCATCCCCTTCTGTGCTCTTAAAAATCTCAATCATATCTTCACTTACTTATAAAAAGACTGGGGGAATGTCTGATCAGCATCAAAGGAATGCCTTCCACTTAACACATCCTTCTCATTCTTCATGATACATTTTAATTAAACTATATGGAAAAAAATCATCCTAATTAAAGGAGAGCTGCTGTAATATCTTTCATGTTTTTTTGTATGCTGGTCTTGCTCACAGTGGGAGATGTTTGAACAGTGAATCAATCCATTTTTGAGTTTTATGAGTTTTTATTTTAGGACATTAAGGCATGCAGAGGCAGACTTTAAAATGAATTTTCTGTATATCTCTGCTTATCATTTAATTCTTATCCTATTTTCTGATCTGAACTGTAAATGTGTTGTTTGTGTTAAATGTTTTATATGTACAATGAACTGAAATCACGTTGCATTGTTTTTCTTGTTAGTTCCAATAAAGCTTCCAGTCCTTCATACTTTTGTTGATTCACTGCAATGTCGTAAACTGCACATGCTTAAGAAAAGCATTTAGGGAACCCGTAATCTTGTACAGGGTTTCCCCTTTTGTATTGCTTATTAGAATGACATCCTCGCTAGCAGTATTTCATGATTACGATTTCTTGGATGGGATCCCAAAAGGGAAAAGGGGGAAGGATTAACATATTCAAATTAAAGCGTGCTTTAGATTCATTGAAAAACTTAACAGTGTTGTGTATTCAAGTTGCACAATCTTGCCTCTCCCGCTCCCTTGACTCAGAGTTCCCCACCATTAATCACTGAGACAAGCCAGTTTTTCCAGCATTCCAACCACAAGCTCTGAACCCACTGGGCACCATGACAAGATCTCTCGCCTCCTCCTTCCCTGCCCTCACCTTTTTTCCCCCTACAGTTAAATTGTAATGCTGCAAGTTGGGTCTGGCCTCCTTTCTCTGGGGGCATGTTAGCCGTGTAGAGTGGAAGCCTTCCTGACATGCCGCAAGGCCACAAGAGACCAACGCTGCTCAGCGGCCAAAGACAACACACTGTATTATTCTAAAGGGTAATGCTGAGTTGCTCCCTGGCTTCCATTCTTTATGGAAAGCAGATCCCYGAATGTAAACTGCGTCATCTGAGTGTTATTTTCCATTCAAAAACTGGATTTTCACTGAAGATTAGTTTTGACAGAAGTGGGTCAAACGCGCTCCAAGGGTTTCAACAGTTTTGTGCGTCAAAGACAAAGCTGCACATGATGAACGAGCGAACCATCTTGTACACGTCCTAATGTGAGCGTTAGTATAAATATYGTAAACAAAACTGCGCACTAATTTTGGGCATGCTGACAGTTTTATATCAGTGGCCTTACTTGTGAATGAGCTGTCACAGAGGGCTACTGACAGCTATGAAATGGGGAGCGGTAAAGCTGATCCCCTGGTGGTTCTAATGGATTCCTAYTCCTAATTCATTATCAGTCCACGGATCAGCTGTCATTTGGTAAATATTCAGCACCATTTGCAGCCGGTTTCGGTGTTGTGGGAGCTGTTTAGCAGCTATGAGTACATGRGAACTTTTTAAATCAAATAAACATGCACAACACATCTGTATAAATAAATGCTGACAGGAAAAAAAAGTAGCAAAGAGAGAGAGAAATGGATGAAAACATACTGTTCTCCTGAATCAGTATGTTCACTGGAGACAGAAAGAGGGGGAGACTCTGCAAAAGGCAACGCTAGATTCCTGAGATTCTTGGATCTGCTGGGTGATTTATGGTTCTGGTGGTGCTGAGGCTCAAAAAGACCTTTACCTCTACTCCTCAACACATTCTCCTCTCAGACACTACGAGCGATCTGTGGTAATTCTGTTGGTGGGGTCAAGGAGGATCCCCTGGGGTCAAGGGAAGCCTCCACTCAAGGGCCTCACAGCAAAKGGGGAACACTCTACATCTATTCGAACATTGAGTTAGCCGGCTGTTCTCACATTAGGCTGGTCCTCGTCAGCATCTAACGTCATTATTTCGCTCTTGTTCACTTGACTCCTTTGACTACTTTACGTGGCATCTGTCAGTAAAGAGAGATGATCTGCAGCAGCTACAGATCCCAACATGTTTGGTTTTCCTCTTCATACTTTGCAACAGATATCTCTTTAAAGTGATTGCATTAGAACCACATTTGGATACGATCCATAGTTATTAAAAAAAGATTTGTCTCATTTAAAACAGTTAAACAATTTTGCCACCGCTTACAAAATATTTTGCATAGTGACACTTATACAGAACTGAAGCCAAAACTTCTCAGCTCTTAACAAAGATGTGTCACCTTAAATAATAATRAAGCATGTCATCATGCACAACACAAACGTAGAGCCAACAAAATGTTATGTTGCTGTTACAGTACACCATTTGTGTCAACATGAAGTGTTCTCATTTATTGAACAAAGATCACTACTGAATATAAATGAATAATGGTGACAGTGATAATCAGAGTCTATAGTGTCTGCCTCGGTTTGATGTATGACCCAAACTAGAAGGTCCTAAAAATGAGAGTTCCCAAAACCATCAAAGCCCAATGCAGGGTAATTTCTTCAAGACTAGAAATTCAGTTTCATTGCTTTCATAGTTTATTTCATACATTGTTTTTTTGTAAATAAATTTCTGCAAACATTGTGTTTGAACCATTTGTGTATCATATGTTATAAAAATAGTGTATTATATGTTTTTAGAATTGTAATTTTTATACATTTTGAAATATTTAACTTTGTT